CAGCAGACATCCCCCTGATAACTTCAACAGCATTGGTTCACAAGACAGCTACCTCTGTGGCAAGTGCATGTTGGAGGTCCTGAATGAAAGTTTTTCTATTTGCTGTGATGACTGTGACCGATGGTTTCATCTTAAATGCATCAATTTAACCATCCGCCAGCTCAAAGGTAAGGATGATAATTATTGGAATTGTGGTTGTGTTGCAGTATCGTCTAGACCTAAAGCAAAATTTTTTGGAAGGTACTTAGATGACATCCTGCGTTCGGTCAAGGTTGCTGAGATTGATCGCCTGTTATCATATGTGAATACGCTACATCCAAACCTGGAGTTCACAATAGAATTACAGCTCAATGGGACGCTTCCTTTTCTCGATATGCTTATTAGACAGTCCAGCCGTACTACCAGCACAGAATGGTACAGCAAACCTACAGACACTGGACTCACCCTTGGGTTTCACGCCTGTGCGCCAACAAAATACAAGAGAAACATAGTTCAGGGCACCGTGCACAGAATTGATCACTCCATTTCCACTTGGGAGGACTTTGATAAAGGTTTGAGGAAAGCGAAAATAGACTGGGAAGCAAATTAGTTTTCTCCGGCTTTTTATGAAACCATAGTGACAGATTCTCTTCTTAAAATCAAGAAAAACCAGGACACGACCACACAAGCAACAACCAATTCAATAAAGCCTGAAAGTATTGAGAAACCAGTTATCCGGCTCCATATCGAGGAAAAAAGTCTGATATTTTCGCGAAAAGGCTGCAAAACTGTAGTATTTCTACAATATTCACGATCCGCAAACTCAGAACCTGTCTTCCCACTTTGAAAACAGATTTCCCTAGGTATTTGACGAGAAGGGTGGCTTATGAGATATCTTGTCCAGGATGCAACTCCTGCTATGTTGGACAGACCGTCCGACACCTGATCACCCGAAAAATTGAACACCTTAGGGACTCTGCCCCGGTGGGTAGTCATCTAAAGGAATGCGGAGCAGACAAGGCTGCAGTTGAGGCGAGATTTTTGGACAGATGCTTAGACACGAGTAAACTTTTGAACTTAGAAGCGCTTTATATTTCGAGGAGAAGACCTGCCCTCAACACGCGCGAGGAATACCGGCAGCGGTACCTCACAGTCAAGTTGTGAGGTTTTTTAAGTCCGTTTGTTTTAGTCACATGACTAACTCTGGTCTTAAACTGATGCTATTTTTATATTCTTTTTAATGTTAGTTTTTATACATTTTTTGTAATTTCTACACATCCATTTCCATTCCGGTTTTACAGGTGCTTTGTTTTTTAGATTGGCTGATGATGACTTTTATGTCGAAAACGTCTCTGGAGTTTATTTTACATTGATCTGCCGTTTTTATCACTGTTTACATATCTATGTGTGTTATCCCTTTTAAACTTTTGAAGAAAATATTACAGCAAGACGGGATTTGGAAGATTTATTTGGATTACACAGCGGCTTTGTTAAAAGCGAGAAATTGTCAACAACGTATTTTATTTTTGAAAAAGTGTCTGAGCAATGACTTAATTCCCCGCTTCCTCAAGTTTCGTATTCCTGAAAATGGTTGCTTTGAGGCAACAATGTTCCATAACTTTCAAAGAAGACTACTACGACGAGAGGTGTCGGAAGCACACCGGACAATGATCATGAGATCGGACCAGTTACCCAAAGCCCGACAAATTCTGAAAGCAAAATGCACAGATTATTTACTTCTCTCTGTTGCTTGGCATTCGCGTATGGACACCAGAGCGGAACGCCTTACTATTCATGCTAGACACAAAAAAAACTTGTGGGACCGAACAGGAAAAACCCTTGAGATCTGTGGGAATTACTGTCAAAATTATTGGTGATTTGAAGCCACCGAAGTATGTTATTGATCTGCTTTCATTGGGTCCCAAGCATCCTGTTCTGGACCAATTCAATAAGATGCATTTTTTGCTAGATATCGACAAAGTACTGGCTCAAATGAAAAATGATGACTCAAATATTGATGCTATGAACGAAGTAAACGCGTTGACTGTTGGTTATCTCAAGCAGATGAAGAGACAGAAGCCAGACCGCGCAGTAAAATTGGTTACCTCTTATCTCAAAAAGAACAACTTGAAGGCTGTCCCTTTCGATAAGGGTGCTGGCTACTCTTTGATGTCTGCCGGAGATTATAACGAACGACTCTTAGAAGTTCTGAATGGAGAACAGTTCAAGCCTTTAGATGATTCTAGAAAGAAGGATGTTTTAATTGCGATTGAGTCGACGTTCAATAGAAACCTCATGTCACTAGTTCGTGCAGGGAAGATCTCATCCGTTTATAGAGTAAATGCAGATCTACGGGTGCTCAGCCGGCGAGACTGTATGACCTGGCGAAAGTACATAAACAGAATACCCCTCTCCGTCCAGTTCTGTCTCTCCCGGGTAGCTGTTATGAGAATCTTACCAACCAGTTGAGTAAATGGTTTGATAAAATTGAAGAAGCCAAAATAGAGACGTCTACTATCAATATCAAACGTGACTTGATGGAGGTGAGTTTAGAGGAAGACGAAGTTATTGTTTCTCTCGACGTCAAGAGCCTATATACCATCGTCCCTGTCCTAGAGTCGGTCGATTTAGCAGCAGATATTCTCTATAAATCGGAGGAACTTCCTCCTGTTGATAAAGAAACTTTTAAAGATCTCATGAGAATGGCGGTTACAAACGTTTATTTTATGTGTGATGGCAGATGGTATATCCAAACTGATGGGGTAGCGATGGGTTCTTCTTTAGCAGTCATTCTTGCCAATATCTGGATGAAAAGCTTCGAAGAGAGAATCAGCAGACATCCAGCTGACAACTTCAACAGCAATGGTTCACAAGACAGCTACCCCTGGGGCAAGTGCATTTTAGAGATCCTAGATGAAGGTTTTTCTATTTGCTGTGGTGACTGTCACTGATGGTTTCATCTTAAATGCATCAATCTAACCATCCGACAGCTCAAAGGTATGGATGATAATTATTGGAATTGTGGTTGCGGTGCAGTATCGTCTAGACCTAAAGCAAAAATTTTTGGTAGGTACGTAGATGACATCCTGCGTTCGGTCAAGATTGCTGAGATTGATCGCCTGTTATCATATGTGAATAGGCTACATCCAAACCTGGAGTTCACAATAGAATTACAGCTCAATGGGACGCTTCCTTTTCTCGATATGCTTATTAGGCAGTCCGGCCGTACTATCAGCACAGAATGGTACAGCAAACCTACAGACACTGGACTCACCCTTGGGTTTCACGCCTGTGCGCCAACAAAATACAAGAGAAACATTGTTCAGGGCACCGTGCACAGAATTGATCACTCCACTTCCACTTGGGAGGACTTTGATAAAGGTTTGAGGAAAGCGAAAAATGATTGGGAAGCAAATCAGTTTTCTCCGGTTTTTTATGAAACCATAGTGACAGATTCTCTTCTTAAAATCAAGAAAAACCAGGACACGACCACACAAGCAACAACTAATTCAAAAAAGCCTGAAAGTATCGAGAAACCATTTATCCGGCTCCTTATCGAGGAAAAGTGTCTGATATTTTCGCGAAAAGGCTGCAAAACTGTTGTATTTCTACAATATTCACGATCGGCAAACTCAGAACCTGTCTTCCCACTTTGAAAACAGATTTCTCTAGGTCGAGAAGGGTGGTTTATGAGATATCTTGTCCAGGATGCAACTCCTGCTATGTTAGGCAGGTAGTCCGACACCTGGTCAACCGAAAAATTGAACACCTTAGGGACTCTGCCCCGGTGGGTAGTCATCTAAAGGAATGCGGAGCAGAAAAGGCTGCAGTTGAGGCGAGAATTTTGGACAGATGCTTAGACACGAATTAACTTCTGACCTTAGAAGCGCTTTATATTTCGAGGAGTTTACATGACTAACTCGGGTCTTAAACTGATGCTATTTTTATATTCTTTTTAATGTTAGTTTTTATACATTTTTTGTAATTTCTACACATCCATTTCCATTCCAGTTTTACAGGTGCTTTGTTTTTTAGATTGGCTGATGATGACTTTGATGTCAAAAACGTTTCTGGAATTTATTTTACATTGATCTGCCGTTTTTACCACTAGTCCTAAATAGACCAGAAAATCAACTGGCATGGTCGAGACGGTGAAAAACGAGTAGAATTACGGTAACTGACGCCTGCCAGTCGTTAATAGGTACTTTTTCTACGCTACGTCGCTGTGTAGTATTTGGGCGAATGTTACATTGTAACCCTGGTACGGCTGCCGCTGAAGCGGAAGAGCGAAAAAATGACAAGTAGTAAGATCTTGTAGATCTTTTTCAACCGCTAGCTTTTGAGATTCAGGGCGCGGCCGGCCCCAGCAGAGAATTTTTTTTGAGCAAGCTGTGTAAGAACGTAAGCATATGCACTGAGGAACCCAGAGCAGGCAGCTTTTTAAAATAGAGAATCTCCCTGGCAATACAGATTTCGAACGCCGCTTGCGTACTCGGAACAATAAATGACGAAATAACTTTCTACGAAATTTTTTATTTGTAACACTTGTATTTTATATTTTCTCGTGTCGAGTTGCGTGTTCTTATTGAAGAAACGTAATCTGTATCGATTTTAATTGAAAAGGATTTAAACACGTGTCATCTACTTTTTCATTATCACTTCCATATCTAGAAAATTCCAAGGATTTTGACTGGAATACGTGATGAAGGGACTCCTGACTGTAACCTCGGTTACTATGATACTTTTGACCTTCTGATTACTTTTAAAGAAAGAAAAAACAAAAAAAACCTTTGTGTAAAACACAAAAGCCTAAACTCTCTCTCTCTCTCTCAAAGGTTTTGGGGGGCTACAATTTTTTTGATAATAGGCTGGGGGGGGGGGGCTATAATGGGAAAGACAGATCCATAAGTTGAACTTGGTCAAACATACGACGTATACATTGTTGTTTTGGATAAATATTCAATCGATTCGGGATAATTTTAGCTGCAATGAAATTGAAATTTTAAGAAAAAAATGTCTAGTCAAATGAATTCTTCTCACAGTTACGACGAAACAGAATATGAAATCGAGACAGCCAAGCGGCATTGCACTGGCGCGAAGTCCGTTGATGGCTGTAATTTGAATCCTCGAGTTACTCATCTTCTTAAGAGAGCGAATCGTTTACATCATAAGCTAAAGAAACTTCAAATGTGCCAGCTGTCGAGACAGGTTTGTTTAACTTAGTTCTTGTGTTTCAAATTGTTATAGCGACAAACCCAAATTGACAGAAGGCCGGAGAAGTGAACTCCCATTGGTCCCAGTTTTTCATAGCTCCCAAAAGCAGTTGCATAAGTCCCAAAGTTTCTGATTGGTTGAAATTTGTGCCAACGAATTTATGGTTTGATTGTTTACTGTTTAAGCAGCATAAACTCAAGCTCAGAATAGTGACTACCGCAGCCGCGTCAACGTGTTCAAGAAGAAGAAAGAACACTTCAATTACTGTACAAAAGTCTAAGCATCTATACAGTAAAGTGTAATAGAGATTAGTTCAAAAATGTAGATAAATGCTTAAAAAGTATATAGTAAAATTAAATATACAAATGATTAAAATTTTTCTCTGGAAAAGTTAGTGAAAAAAGGCATGAAAGCTACTCAGAAACAATAACTATATATGGACTTAGATAAGCTTCGCGCTGCTCAGGAAAGCTATCCTTTGTATACGGGGTTGCAGATCACTGCGTAGGACGCAAATCATAGACAATTCAATTAGTGCTGTTGTAGAGGAGGGACGGTTGAAGTAAATACTCTTAATGACAATGCATTAAATGCTGACTTGACTTAATTCCTGCAATTTTGTTTATTGATGTATTTATATAATGCTGGTATGGGCCCTATCCAGCTTGTGCACGACCGTACCTAAACGGAAGGGCCCCTTTTATAATTTACTCTTTTTTTATCGATTGAAATGCGATGAAATTACTGCTGGAATAAAACATCAGATTAAGACAACATAAATAAAATAGAAATGTAGAGAAATTAAAATCAATTCAATCTTAAAAACATCGATAAAATAAACTAGTGCGATATACAAGCATTTGAATAAAAACGGAACTCACGCTGTATTTGTGCGTGTACATTCTGGATTAGATTGAATTTCACTAGTGTAAAACTCTTTCATTTTATTTGTTAACGTTGAAGTAATGTTGTCGAAATTTCTTAATTTCACTGGCAAAGAGTTCCATTTTTTTGAAGCGAATTGATGAAATGATTTTTGTGGAGAAGCAGTTGAACAGTGATTAACAAATATTATTTGTTTAGTGCGATTATTAATGCTGTAATTGGTTGTCGGTAATTTCATTGCATTCGTGAAAGCTTTTCTCTTATAGGTAAGATATTGATATAGATAAGTAACACATTTCAATTCAAATCAGTTTTCAATTCTTATAAAAGATTTGTAGAGACATCATTGAAGTCGCATTGTGGCAGTAAAATTGCTGCATAATCTAAATGGGATAAAACTATACAGTGAAGTAAGACAATCGAAGATATTTTAGGCAGTTGTGTTCAATTGTATCTATGGTCTTGATTCCTTGAGTCATTTTTCGAAAAAAATTCTTTACTTGAGTTTGAAATGAAAGATAAGAATCTAGAATCGAACCTAACTATTTGCATTCAGATTTTTTCTCTGCGTAATGATCATTGATAACAAGACGGTCTGATTCCACATTCTGCTTATCTGTTTTTTTTTGACAAAAAGTTATAAACTCCAGTTTCGATGCAATTAAATTTAACCGATTCTGAGCAAAAAGGAATCAAGCTTGTTTAAATATTTTTGTTTTTGACTCAGAGCATCATTTGAAGATATAGATGACGCATACACCAAGCAATCGTCTGCATACTGTAAGCTCGTTTAAATATTTTTGTAATTGACTCAGAGCATCATTTGAAGATATAGATGCCGCATACACCATGCAATCGTCTGCATATTGTAACAAAGTACATCCATCGCAGATACGATTTTCACTATCATTGATATATAAATTCAACAACAGCGGACTCAGTGCTGTTCCCTGCGGCACACCTTCAATCCAGTCCGTAAAAATTCCATTCACATTGACTCTTTGAATGTTTTCATTCAAAAAACTTTCAATTTTTGTATATAAGTTTTTGTTGAAACGCCAAGAAAGCGTAACTTACTAACTAGAATATTATGAGAAATAGTGTCAAAAGCTTTTGAAAGATCCAATAAAGCCGCATGAATAGTTTTTTGGAATCGTTTTCTTTTCGAATACTTTCAGTTACATGTAGAAGCGCATCTTATCTGGAATTTTTTTTTGCGGGAACCAATCTGAAAAGGAGTCATAACTTGATGTTTTTCCAAGTGTTCTGTACATACTGTACCAAAGTACATCCATCGCAGATACGATTTTGAGTATCTTTGATAAATAAATTCAACAACAATGGACCCAGTACACCTCTTTTGACTTCAATCCAGTCCGAAAAAATTCCACTCTTTTTGACTCATTGATGCGTTTATTCAAAAAATTTTCAATTAATGTATTAGTTTTTCTTGAGAAGCCAAGATAGCGTAACTTTCTAACTAGAATATACTGAGAAATGGTCTCAAAAGTTTTTGAAAGATCCAATAAAGCCGCATGAACAATTTTTTCGAATATTTTTTTTCTCGAATACTTTCAGTTAACGTATAGAAGCGCATCTTGTGGAAATTTTTTTGCAGAAACTAAATTGAAAAGGAGTCATAATTGTTGTTTTCCAAGTGTTCTGTTATTTGGGCATGGAAAATTTTCTCAAAATTGTTTCAAAATGCACAGGTCATTGAAATTGGTCGATAATTTTGAGGATCCGTTGAGTCATCTTTTTTGAATATTGGAGTTATAACTGCTTTTTTATAGTTCAGTGTGAAAACCATTCTCGTCTATGAAGGCATTGATAACAAACTCAAAGCTCGGCGCAATTATTGATTGACCATCAATTATTGCCAAAGCAGGTACAGTAAAGGGTCCTAGAGGTTTTTGGATGTTCAGTTCTCGCTATGTATCATAACATTGCTTCACTGTCATGTGCTGAAAATTAAATATAGGTAATTCAGAAGTTCTTGGGTTTAATAACTGAGGTTTAGCAGAGCCTAAATATTCCTCCAAATTTGAAAAAAAAAACGTAGTTGAAGTGATTGACTATTTTAAAGTCTTTAATTTCATTGAATGAATTACGCAGAGTAGTAATTTTGGAATTGATGGAACCGGAACCTCGTTTGACTGATAAATTTGCATTTTTGCTGGAATGTGTTGAGAAAAGAATAGCAAAGTGCGATTGTTTTTCTTGGTTTTTTAAAGCACTTTGGCTATTTGGTCACTACAAAGACGATGATTTTTCTATTATGCATTTAAATTTTCATTTCGGCAAGCTAGAAGTGATTTTTGTTTCATTTTAGTTCTGAATCGAACCAATCCGTTTTCAGCACATTTTTTTGCTTCAAAATTACGAACAAAATTTAACATCATCGAAAACATAATTGAAACCAAGGAAGAGCGGATAGAGTTTGGCAAAACTCCAAATTTCGTTAATTATTTTAAGTGAATTTGAAAGTTATTTTCAGCATGTTCTTTTCACAATTAATTTATGTCAAAATAAGTGACGCATTATGATCTGTTTTATAGGGCGTACCAAAGCGAAATTCATTTCCTTTTATTTCAAAATCACCAATCAGATAATCAATGTGGGTTTTTGCCGAAGCACTGGCTCGTGTTTCATTAATTGGACCAAACTTCTTCAATCCATGCGGAATGATGATGGATTCCATATTTTCTCTCTCGAATCACCGATTAAGAATATTTGGTTAGAGACAGAAAGTGCGTTATCAATGCTCAAAGTAAGTTGTTCAAGAAACTCAGTTACGTTCGCTCTGTTTGGGATATAACATGAATTTATAAACTTTTTTCCTTACTGGCACCATTAAAATTATAAATGCATTCAAACCACAGTGACCCATATTTTTCGCTTTTGAGTAAGTTTAAACCGTCTCTCAGTTTTGGGGCCAATTTAACGGTTATATATAATAAAATGCCACTACCTTCTTTTCATCACCGGTTGTCTGTCATATCTAAAGAAGTTCAAGATTCCATAAGTTGATATCATCTTCTTACCCAAAACTGTTTTTCCCCTATGTCGTGAAGAATTTTTTAAACCGGCGTGAGCTTTTGAATGATACTTCGAAAGTTTAAATGGACACATTTCTTTTCCATGGGAACTGAATTAGTTTCTGCGTTCTCAATTTGTGTCAGTAGTATGGCAGCAATGAAAATACGAGTAGCTGTTATTGATATCCGCTCAACCTTTTTCAGTTTTGCGGCAGAACTTGTGGTTTGATAAATAAATCATTTTCTCTAAGTTACTCACTGATTCGTTTGCGTCAAAATCGTCTGAAAGGCAATCATTAATTCCAGTTAGTTTAGTTATGTGTTTAAATGCCTGGGTTTTCTGGTTCTTACACGTTCCACCAGTGCAGAAATTTTGTGGCCCCCAAATCCTTGCCAGAACATTGTCAGATATTTGCTCGCCGTTTGTCCTATTAACTATTGTGTCGCCCAGTTTTATATCATATTCGCCTTCTCTTGGTAAAAATAAATTTTTACTTGGTTCTTGGTTCCCGGTCTTGGTTATTAAAATCTTTGTTCCGATTGTTATTATCTTGGTTGATTTCATTAAAGTTATGTTTTCTAGATGTTGCTTCTATTCTATTTTTAAAACCGGAATCTGGAATTTTCGAATTGCTCATTTTTTTTTAAATTATCTAGATCCAAATTTTTTACCTTCCTCCCTTTTTGATGCAGTCAAGTTTTCGATAATTTTCTTTTAACAAATGGTGTCTTCAATGGCATCTTTTGTCGTGCTTAGTTTCATCTGAAAAATTTAGAGTTCAAACATGGCGATTAAAAGAGCATTAAAAGAACCGACGATTCGCTAGAAAAAAAATGGTTGTGTATTGGGATCTATGGGACTGATTTTTCATTTTGGGGCCTTGAATACGCAACGCCGGAGAAGCTCAATCTAGACCGAAGTTTTTTTCAAGCCTCACATTATGTTCATGAGAATATAATAATTTTAAAATGTTAATTCAAACGTTTTCGCACATTTTGCGCATCATCAGGAATAAAAATTTTTTACAATTTTTACATTAGGAATCAAATTTAAACAACTGTAATTACATAATAAATTGTGTAATCATTAATAAAAATTTTTGTACATTCCTGAGTAAAAAAGTAGTAGTGATTGTTTTTAGTTAAGTTTATGTAGTCCTGCTCGTTTTTCATTAAAATCATGACCAGGTGTTATGACAGTTTTAGCTATCATAGAATAATTGCCACGAGCATAGGTTTTGCTCAGAAAATTTTTCTTCAAAGAATTTTCACATCGTTTTGGTTAGTCCTATCTTTTCTCTAACGTTCAACCGATTCATGATTGGACAGGTTTTGAACGCACATTCGTTTTGCGCTTTCTCGCTTCGCATTTTGATGATCTGGAGTATAGTTCTCATTTAATGTTTTCCGCATCTGATAGGATTTCACTTACTTGAAGGAACAGTGGAGGTAGCAGGTAGTTACAGTGAATGTTTTTTGACCGTTGTACATTGTCTAGGTATCTGCTAGCTTGCAACTGCAGTCCCAGAAGAAAGAAAACAGGGAATTTGACAGATGGATAGAAAATGGCGCGTCTCTTCAAATCGACTTCGATTCGGATGCAACGGACAGTGACTGTAGCAGTGAGTGCCTCAGTGATTCTGACTTCGTATTAAGGTGAGTGGTAAACGTGATTGTTATACGTGCTTATAGACTCACATGGAAGCTGAAATCTAATTAAAAGTGTGAAATGAATGAAGTGAGATAGTGCCGTTAATGGGTTGTTTCATGCTCATTTTTTGTGATTTGACTGACTTCGAATCCTATGAGCTAATGGAAGGCAGTTCGCGTTCACTGAAACAGTGCAAATGCTGCAAAAATAGAGCTTAATTTTAGAGTCATTAGGTTATAAAACTCCGATTTTTTTGCATGTAGTGAAAATAATCGTTGATACAGATTTCTCTAATTTGGCAAGTTTTATCAATCATAAAAGGTTTTTGAATTATAGATAGCTTCAATGTGATTACAATCGGGTACTAGTTTTTTCGTAAATAACTTTAGAAACAGGACTCAAATGACTTACTCCTGGTCCTGGACTCTTTCACCTTTTCGTCTCTGTTGCAAATCAAATCTTCTTTCTCTTTGTTGCAAATAATAAGCATGTTTTGAGTTTCTTCTTATTGTTTTAAATATGCCAGCTTTTCGAAATTTGCTTTTAATGTTGGATATAATTTTTTTTTCTTAATACTTTTCGGTCTATGTTATTAGTGCTTAGTGGCCTCATTTTGAGCCGCTTGATTAACAAAATGTTTTTTGTATATGTGCGTGTGTGTTTTGAGGGAGTCGTAAACTTAAAATCTTTATTCGTTTCAAACTTTTTCTAGACTTTTTTTTCGAATTATTGCTTTTGGCTTGATACGTTTTGGACCTTTTTATATCGCCATATTTGTCTCATATCGAGCCTTTGAGTAGCAGAAAGGTCTCTGTGAGCCTGTGTGTTTTCAGGGAGAGGTGAACTTAATTTTTCTGATTACTTTCAAATTTTTCTAAACTTTTTTCGGATTTCAGTTTTTGTCTTTTTTCTGCTTAGTAGGTTTCGGCCTATTTTTTATTGCCATAGTAGTCTCTTATTGCGCCTTTTGATGAGCAAAAAGTTGGAATCTCAATCTGTTTGTGTGTGTTTTGATTGAGAAGGAAAATTTGTATTTTTAATGAGCTTGAAATTTTTAAAACTTTTGTTGTCAGCTTGAATGGTTTCTGCTCAGCTGTTTTCGGCATTGTTACTGCCGGGTAAGTTTTCTTCCGATGCTAATTTTGCATTATTTTGTCCGTGCATTTTTTTTCAAATCGATCTCAATACATTTTCGGTTTTATTGTTGTCGACTAAGCTCACGGTTTTTTTGTCCGAAATGTGTACGCCACCTTGACTTCAATATATACATGACACTGAAGAAGAAGAACGAGAATTTATTTCTCCATATAGTTGATAATACAAGCATCAATTTATTTTAATTATTAAATCAACAAAATGGAGGGGGTAGATAAAAGGCGCAGTATGTGCCTACTTGACGTCTACCCGTTGAGCAAATTATGATTGCAACGAAGTAATAAAGATAAATTTATATTCGAATTAATATAGGATAGTGGGGAAGAATTTCTTTTTCCCTAAAATTAAGCCCTCAATAAGGAATAGTTATTACGTCTAGTCCTGTCATTTTGGCCAATTGTCATTCCAGCTGACGAACTAAGAATATGAGAAATAATATGAAAAAAAATTCTAAGTTTTTTCGTTTTATTTTAATTTTCAAAAAAATGCGATATCTCGAAAACTACAAGGATTTGGAGGGTCACATTTTCAGCACAGAACCGCACCCCTAGAACGGTTGTTTTATAGCATTTAGCAAGCGGGTACCTTTTTTAAAAAATAAAAATTCAAAGAAATATGTTTTGCACCAACTCGTAATTGCCACAAATGAAATTATCTTTAAATTTATGGACGAAACTATTCTTCTTTTTTTGACATCAATCCGATATTTTCAGGTAAGAGCTTATTTATACTCATAATATTCAATAACTTTGATCCCCATATTAGTCAAAGAACATGATTTTACCTTACAGAATGGTGGAACAAATGTTCGACCTTTTGAAATTCGCGTATTATAGGCAAAATTTTTAAAAGTAAACAAAGAATTGAGAAAACAAGTTAGATGTTTTTGATTTAATGATCATAAACAAAACTTCATCAAATCGTACACATATAGCTCATGAACTGTTAGTATTTTGATATCAGAAAAGAATTTAGTAATGGTATCAAATTTCCTTTGAAGCAGATCATGCGAACAATTTTTCGTTGCATATTCAAAATTGGGTTTAAAAAAAACTCGTGCCGCCGTAGACGAGCAAGCCATATTGTATTATTGGCTTGATATTCGACATATAGTATTTCAGTAGGATGGATCTTGGTGCATAATGTCTCATTTTTGATATTACACCACAGTGACGACCTAGTTTTGATTGAACATTCGGTATATGGTGAAAAAATTAAAGCTTATCATCTACAAGGACACCTAGGTATTTGCAAAAAGGTTTTGGCCGAAAAGTAAAATCAAGTATATCAATAGAAAGATTGGAAGCACTTCTATTCTTAGTAAAATTAATAAAAGTAGTTTTTATCTGAGTTTAAGGTTTATTGATTTGAACAAAGCCAGGAAGAAATGTTGGTCAAATCTATCTGGTTTTCTTCATAGATAGATGTTTGACATGATATGTTTGTATCATCTGCAAATAGAAACACATTTGAATTGCAAACTGCGTGCTGCATGTCGTTAATATAAACTAGAAACAAGAGAGGGCATAAAACAGAGCCTTGATAAGCAATTTCCACGTACTGCATAGCATTTTAATTTCCTCAAAAGAATTTTATGGTCCAGCGTATCAAATGCTTTTTTTTATTCAATGAAGCTACATTTAATGTTTTTATCAACACCTAGTCTTAATCTTTCAGTCAAATCAGCTAATGCATCAACTGTTGCAAACTTCTCCCTGAATCCAAACTGATGATGATACAGAAGTTCAAACTTTTCAAGATAGTTGTAAAATCGAGATTTTTTCAATAACTTTGCTGCAGCTACTTGAAAGTGATATTGGACGGTAATTGCTCATAATTATTCTGCTATCAGCTTTATCAAGAGGTAAAACCCGAGCATACTTGAGGCTTTGAGGAAACATACCAGAGATTAGTTAAGTATGTTAAATAAGGTGCTAACAAATACCTGCTTTTAACTAAAAAAAAACGTTACTAACTTCATCGATGCCACAAGTATGCTTGGGCTTCAGACGCTCTAACTCATCAATTATCTCACAAATTGTACTAATAAAGAGATAAATAGATGGGCTTAAGTCTTTTATTTTAATCACTGGCTCCACGAGGTTAATTTTGCTTGCTAACTTGGTTCCTACCGAAGCGAAATAATCAATAAAAGCGTTAGATGTTAGAACGGGGTCAGATAATTTATTGTTATTGATTAAAAGAGCTGAAGTTTTTGATGATTTTGCGGTCTTGCCATTTTTTTCATTTAAAACTTTAAATATTTGTCTCGAGTCTCCAATACATATATTAAATTGGTGGATACTATGTGGACAGCAGTACATTGTTTTTTATCAATTTTGTTATGCCCAAATATTTCGGTTGAGTTTCAGTTTTTTGGCTGCAGGCTTTAATTCCGTCGGCTTATTAACCATTTATCTTGTTTCTACAACTTTCCGGCTTTTTTTATGAAATAGAAAAGACCGTGGCGCCAAATTTTTGAATTCGTAAATTCATAAGCATTGGGACTTCTTAAAAATACTTCGTTTTTCTAGATTTTTTTCAAATCAGTTTTGAACGTCATGCTGCATCTTCTTATCAGTTTTGAATCTCGTGCTGTTTTTACCCTCTATTTGTTGTATTTCAAGTGGTGCGAAGCTCAGCTTCGTCTCTGTATTTATTTTTTATAAACCGCAGAATTGGATTAGTTTTTGGATTGGATCAGAATTGGATTAGAAAATCAGATGTTTGTTTTTGATTACACAGTCAGATCTATTACATTAACAAATGTCTGTCTGTCATTTGCTTCACAACAGAAGCAAGCGGAAAGCATATTGAATGCCCACGTGGAAAAACATGTAGAAAAGTAATTATAACCAGTGTACAAATGACACATCTGTTTTGTTTCAAGCGACCTGAGGGCAAATGCTTTGAAGGCTGCTGATTCTGTTGCCAACGGTATGCAAAATGGAGTGAGGAACGACGAAAGAAGTGCTGAAAAAGAGAAAGTCGAGAAAGTGTTTGCTGAGAAGACAGGCAATGTTTGGGCCAAATGGCAATGGCTCCTCTTTCAGGTGTGTATAAGCAAAATGTAGTTGAAAACGAAATGAAGAAAGCAAAAGGGCGAGCCACTTAAAGGCTCTGGTGTCCCGAAAGATGGCAAACTAGCATTGAATGATCGATAAATGTTTTAACATTCAGATAGGTTAGTAGCAGGAGTCCGTTTGTGGATCTCTTGTTGATGAGTAGTGGATGAAGTATCTAAGCAATGCGGATTCGTCTGTCAAAGGGTTTCAATACATTCTCTTACACACTCTGATTCTGCAGGTGCATAGCCTCGAGTTCAAGATATTACAAACTAATGAGCTGCTACGTCGTATCCGCAAAGAGGAGCCGAGAGCTGAAGTGGAGCAGCCGCCTCTGCTTCTGTCGCCAGACGGGACCACAGATCGCACTGAGAGCGCTGCCAGAGTGCGGGCTGTTGTTGGGGTGAAACGCAAACGAATGGGATGCACTCTTAGCATTACTGCACAGTCTCACAATACACTGCAACCTGTCCCAGTTCCCTGTGCGTGTGCGCCCAACACATGTTGCATTGTGTGTGGAGGCCCTGGTACTTTGTACGTGGCTGAGCCGGACAGAAGTCTACATACTGTGGATGAAAGAGTAGCTATGTTGTTCCCACGACAACATCACGTAAGAGTTTTCCTACATTCAAAAGGTTGTCTGGCAAATCACTGCGAAAACATTTCGATATTAAGATGAAATATAATTTCAGTTTGAGTTTTACTCAGCATGCCAATTTCTATTCAAATTCAATTGGTAATTTGTATTTTTTCCTGTTGAAATCCACCAAATGGTTTATCATAACTAGCGCATTTACAAGAAAAATAGTTACTAAGTTGTTTGTTTTAAGGTGTTGGGAAGGGGCAAAAGACCGCTGTCCGCGCAATATGGCAGACTCATCAAAGACAAGAAATGCTCGAGTTTTCATACAACTCAAAGTATCCAAAATTCTCTTCATAATCAAAACGCCGCCAAGAAAAATATGCAACAGCCGCACAACCAGAAAGTATCTGATAAATATTGCTTGGGTGGAGTAAAAATTGGCGAAAAGGGTAAGAGTTCTGAGTTAGTGACTGGAAAAGAGAAAGCTAAAGTAAAGACGCCAACAGGAGGAAGTAGCAACCATCTGCAGATGTTGCTTCAGTCGAAGAAAAGGAGCAGACAGGCAATGAAAAATAAAAGCAGTGGTTTTAAAAAGGAACACAATGTCAAGTCTAACGAGAAGCCAGACGCAAGTGGTGTTAGCTGTGTGGAAGTTAAGAAATCGGCTGCTAATGGGTTTGTTTAATTTTGGCCAAATTCACTTAATAAGTGTCAATGAACGAATAGAAGACACTTATTTAAGGCGTGTCCTTTTATTTTTTTCAGAAAAAGTCTGAAAAATTGTACGCGCTTGAGATTTCCCTCAGTTGGTGTAGGGAAAACTTGTTTATAAAATTCGAATATTGAATTGAATAAGATATATAAATAGATAGAATAGAATAATGTATATAGAGTTAACGTTTCCAGATTGAATAAAGATTGAATAGATTCACAAATGTTTTTAACTTGATTTCACATCTCAGGCTTTCGCAACTGGCGGTTTCACATTCTCAAGTGACAAACGATTAGGCTGGTGAGATTTGTCCTTGAGTCAATTACTGCACTATAATGAATAGATAATAAGACATAGTTATATAAGATGTACATAAGTAACTAGAATAGAGTGAGGTACCGAAGGTCGCCTCATGACATTTCCCCCTCTTGAGGAAAATTTATCAAAGTATACATTTTTGACAGTATTGGATATAATGATAAGACACTATTGCACTCGTTGAGGATGGGCCCAAACGAACCAGAAAACAAAATAGAACAAAGTTTTACGCACAAGGATTATTCTCATGTTCTTCAATTCTGATTCTTTCAAACGGGGTAGTTTGTTCTTTAGTTCTCGGGAAAGTCAACTGGGCTCCTTTTCGAACAATTGGGATGAATGGTGTAGTATGCGTCGCTTCTCGGACTGGTAATTGGGGCAAAGACTCGATGGGCACGGATTCCGTGACATTCTTAACCGAATGACGAAGGGGATCGCCGAAAAACCTCGTCGGTTTCTTTGACCGTCCGGAGGATCGGGTAGTCACTCTTAGCTTGATCAGTAGCCTCCGCGTGATCTGTAGTTGCCGCATCCTGAACTGTAACATGTGAATCATCCCCTGACGTCTGTGGCCTTGATTGGGTGGACGAATCAAGAGGCGTTGCTAAAGCTCCTGTTGATGAAGTCCCAGTGGGGCTCGTCGGCGGTTGCGCAATTGTAATTTGTGGCGTCGCATCTGCTGGAGCCAATCTCTGAGGCGCGGAACCGGGTGCCTCCACCAACTCAAGCTGTGGTCCAGTTATTAATGAGTCCTCACTTGACGACTCTGCCGTCAAATCGATCACTTTACCCTTAGAAGGTTCGCTGGTTTGCCTCTGAACTGGAAAAGTAGATGGCTGAGATTGAGGGCGAGGAGCAATCCGTCTTTGGAGTCTCTCTCCCACTCTGCCAGGCGTAGCTGAAAACTTAGGGAGGTTAGAATTATATCTTAGACTTAAGTGATTTTTCCGATAGACTTTTCCTTGGTCAGTAATGTAAGTGTGGTCCGTAACACGAGTAATCTTGATTTTAGCTAGTTTGAATAGAGGTTTTCCCGATTTTCGATCAAGCGATTTTCGAAAGATTTTGACTCTTAGAGGATCTTGCAAAATTAGTTTTTCTAATTTACGTGTTTTTGAGAGTCTTTTTGGCCTCGATGGCGACGGCATATTCATTCGTTGAGAATGCGAGAGGGCTGGTGCTGATGTGTCTCGAACGTTGTCATAAAAGCGTAGTGTTCCCTTTGTGATCCCCGATTTCAGCGAGTTTGCAAGGTCACTACTTCGAGCGGTCAATTCGCGGAGAAGCTCGTGTCCCTGTTGCGGAGGCACATTTCGTTTCCATTGTTTCCAGACGTTAGCCGCCTTAGCGAGGTTCTCCAGGGCCTTGTATGGCTGACTTTCCGCCACTAGATTGCCCTCACCAAAAAGTAGCTTGAATCTACAGGGAATTTCCGGACTGTGCGAAGCTCCTCTGGGTACAACTTTGGCCCTATCGCGGCTGTAGTCTTTACTTGAACGCTGCTCCGGTGTTAAGAGGTTTCGCTCCAGTCCTTGCGCTGAAGTAGGAGAATGAACAACATTATCACGCGCTATTGAAAACTCAGTATTAGGCTTTCTACCATAATGTAACTCAAAAGGAGACATTTTTAACGTAGAATGTTTGGTTTTTCGAATATCGTCAATGATTTGTTGTAAAGTCGACTTCAAGCTTTTAAAATTAGGATCTAATTTCTCTGTTCCCAACTTTCGTTTAATGGTCGGAATCGACCGTTCAACCAGCCCACAACTTCGATGATCCCCCACCGCTGTGAGGATATGTTTTATACCTCTACTTTTGCAAAATTCTTTAACAACATCAGAGTTGAACCCAGAGCCATGATCTGTCCTAATGCTTTCCGGTATACAATGATTACGAATGTACGATCGCGAAAATTTGACTACTTTTTTCGCACTTGTAGTCTTAGTTAACATCACCGAAGGGTATTTGGAAAAACAATCTATTGCGACTAAAATATAGATTTTTCCCTTCTTGTCATCTATTAACGGACCCGCAAAATGTCGGATTCTGTTCTGGATTCGGAGCTGACAACGGTGGTAGTGGCTTAGCAGAGTTATAAGTCGTTGAAGTTTTGATATTCTTACCAAATAAGGTACACTCCGGGCACTTTTCACAGATATTAACTATCTGGCGATTGAGAAATGGCCACCATACGTATTCCGAAGCGTCCATCATAGCCGCCTGTCCAGGATGCGAACGGTGAAGTCGAGTCAGAATGGCACTCCGTAATTGCTCGGGTATGGCCAATTTGTTATCTATTAGAACACAATTGTTCACTACCGCCGCCTTCGTCCAGAATTGGGCCATGTATGCCCCCAGTTTGTTGAAGGATTGTACGTCCTTGTTAATGATCGCTGTCCTCATCGGTCCGAGAAATGGGTCTTCTCCTGTCAGTTCTACCAGCAGGTCAACGTCAAACAGTCCTGGTAATCCGACCACTTTCTTCTTGTCCGGTGTGACCAGTGGTTTGCGATTTTTGATGGCATTAACTCCCATTCTGATTGCCTCCCCCTGTCTGGCCTGTTTGTTCTGCCTCTGCCTTCGGCACTTGTCTAGAAACTGGGCAAGGGCCTTTCGTGTAGACTGTCCGCGAGCGACCACAAAACGGTCTCGTGAATGTCTCATCCTGGCAAGATTTCGGGCTCGAATTTGGTCAATACGGCTTCGGCGAATCATAGTTATTTCTTGACAGTCCGGGTCTTTGTTGACTCGAGGTACGAAAAATAGGGGAACTGGTAGAAAATTTTTCAACAAAGTTGAGGAGATTTGCTTGTTCAAGCGTGTTTGCGAAGTCGATAGTGTTAGTAGAAGTAATAGAGTTATTTAGAGTAGAGTTAAGAGTAGCATTTTCAGAGAGGTTATTTGAATCTTCCTTAGCGTGAATTGATTCTGAGATAAGGTCGGAGACAATGAGTTTGATCAAAAACTTCCGGTTTAGCGTATCTCATTTGCATACTGAGCTGTGATTGGTCGAACCGACCAGAGCATGGAAAGTCGACCTCTCGCGGCGAGAATGTAAAGTTACGATTTTGCATACTAGTCTGTGATTGACTGAGAGCATGATTTAACGCCCTCTAGCGGTGAGAAATCGTGACTAGAAATTAACATATCCTTTAGGGATTGGTTAACAAGTTGGTTATTAAACGCGACGCCCTCTAGCGACGACGAACGAAACTGATTGCAAATATCTGATTGGTGATGTGAAACAACCAATGATTGGTCCACCGCTTTAGTTAAGAGGTGGCTAATAGCGCCTCCAACACTACCGAACTTTTTGATTGGTCGAAATCGGTTATAATATGAAACTTGCCCCACAGGCACTATTTGAGGTCTGGACGGAGTACTGATCGAGTTTAAAGAATTATGAAAAGCTTGAATAGATTTAATGACAAATAATTCATCATGCGATGACGGTAAAGGTGCTTCAAAAGTCGGGTGTCTTGACGTATAGTCTGCAATACCTAGAGAGGAACCTGGCACATGTTCACTCTGATAATCGAACGGAATGAGACGATCCGCCCAACGAGATAGTCGTGACTGATAAGATTTGTTGCCATACGTTTCGTTGAGAGCTGGAATTATAGCCTTATGATCAGTTAAGATAACAAAGCGCTTACCAAGTAAGTATCTACGAAAATGTTCGCACGCCCACACAATGGCCAGAAACTCTAACTCGTTGGTACTATATTTGAGTTCCGCGGAGTTAAGAAATCTAGAGGCAAACGCTATCAGGGCCCAGATATTCGGTTCCACTTCCTGTTCCAAACAAGCTCCTAATCCGCTGTGACTCGGGTCACATTTAACTCGAGAAGCTTTTGAGGCATCATGGTGAAACAAGTTAGGGATGTTTGCAATGAGGTCTAAAGTTTTCTGAAAAGCACTAACTTGCTCTTCCCCCCACAAAAAGGATTTCTTATTCTCCGCTTTTAAGGATGCTCTGAACGCAACTGTATACTTATGCAAATCCGAAATGAAACGTTGAAGATGATTGAGAGTCCCCATAAATGATCTTAATTGCTTAAGAGTTTTCGGTGGCATCAGTGATTTGATAGCCTCTATTTTCGAGAATTTCGGGGCGTAACCGTTTTCATCGATTTCGTACCCTAACCAGACTAACTTGTTAACTGAGAACTCACATTTGCTAAGTTTCAATGCCCATCCTTCCTCGTTCAATCGATCCATGACTTTTCCTTTAGTGACAACCAGTATATCATCAAGGTAACAGATAACACCTTCTAATCCTTGTAACGTACAGTCCATCGCTTTTTGGAATTCTGTGGGCATATCCGTCAATCCGTAGAAACCAGCCTTGAAACGATATGTGCCTGTTGCTTCTCCACACAAAATACTTTAAGTTACAATGGTTACTGGTTAGATTCGATAAAGGTAATTGTTTAAAAGCATATTTAAGGTCAAGAGAAGTAAACCACACTTTCCCAGATGTGTCTAGTGATGATTTGAGCCGCCGAGTCAATCAATTCATGCATATTAGGCATTTGGTATTTGTTTTGCCAGATTTGAGCATTCATTGGTTTAGCCTTAAGTGCAAGTTTTATTGACCCGTCTTTCTTGCACTTAACACATGGGCGCGACAAAATGATCCGTA